GGAACTATATGAACCAAAAACTCATTCCATTGGACAATCAAAAAAAGAAATATTTCAAAATACAACACAGTTAATAGGATACTTCGAAAATTTAAAACCTTGTACAGGATATGGAATTTGGTGTACTTCAAGAATTCCAGGCCATGAAAAACATAGTGATTCGATAACAGTTTGGACACGTTGTATTAATTTTGATGCTATATATTATAATCTTTTACGATGCACATTAGCACAGTAGTTTATATAGTTTAGTGTATCAGAAATATTTTATATATCTATTATTATTAGATACGAATGTATAATTTATTAATTTTCCAGGCCTAGAAGAACCAATCGTACCTAAGGTTTTGTTTGTGAACACGACAAGTATAGTTATTGTAATTTTTTCTTCATCATGGATTTACACTAGTTATTATGAGACAGCAATTTCTTATTCTTTCGAAATTAGGGTAAATAACATTACTTTTATTTTTAATTAACTTTCTATCAGAATAGTAATTTAATTCAATAAAATTTACAATTTATCATGCAAATATATAAAATATAAATATTTACAAACATTTAAAAAGACAAAAAAGGAGATATATAAATATACGTAAATATATATAATATAATTTTAAGGGATATATTTTTCATTATACAGGGTGTCCCATAATTCGCGAACCACCGCGAATGGGCAGATAGAGCGTGTTAAACCGAATAGAAAAGTTCTGTATCATTTTGCGATATTCGCAATAATTATTACGTAATTAAGAGTTATTTATTAAAATATCTAAACGAATAAGCAGGTAGAAAGCATTATTTGATCGAGAGGCGGTGTCATGCAGCGAGCGGTGACCAATGTAGTGGCGCCGAAAAGTAAGATGATACTTTTGATACTAAGCGGCATATAACAAATAAGTCATCCGACATGCACACCGAGTCCGGCCTACCGCTTTCTACCCGCTCATTCGTTTAGATATTTTATTTAGTTAATAACTCAATAATTATTGCGAATATCGCAAAATGATACAGGACTTTTCTATTCAGTTTAACACGTTCTATCTGCCCATTCGCGGTGGTTAGCGGATTATGGGACACCCTGTATATAGCTTTAAAAAATACATTTTTTATAGGAACCAGAAACTCATTTCATTGGACAATCAAAAAAAGAAATATTTCAAAATACATCAGAGTTAATAGGATGCTTCGAAAATTTAGAACCTTGTACACAATATGAAATTCAGTGTACTTCAAGAATTTCAGGCTATGAAAAACGTAGTGATTCAAAAACAGTTTGGACAGAATGTATTAATTTTGATGCTATATTATAATCTTTTACGCAAGATGCACAGTAGTCTTTATAGTTTATTGTTAATGTATCAGAAATATTTTATATATCTATTATTATTAGATACGAATGTATAATTTATTAATTTTTTAGGCCTCGAAAAACCAAACGTACCTGAGATTATTTTTGTGAACACGACAAGTATAGTTATTGTAGTTCTTCCTACAACATTGAATTACACCAGTTATTTTGAGAAGACAGCAATTTCTTATTCTTTTGAAATTAGAGTAAATAACATTGCTATTATTTTTAATTAACTTTCTATCAGAATAGTAAATTAATTCAATAAAATTTACAATTTATCATGCAAATATATAAAATATAAATATTTACAAACATTTAAAAAGACAAAAAAGGAGATATATAAATATACGTGGATATATGTAATTTTAGAGAATATATTTTTCATTATATATAGCTTAAAGAATACATTTTTTATAGGGACCAGAAACTCATTCCATTGGACAATCAAAAAAAGAAATATTTCAAAATACAACACAGTTAATAGGACACTTCGAAAATTTAAAACCTTGTACAGGATATGGAATTTGGTGTACTTCAGGAATTCCAGGCCATGAAAAACATAGTGATTCGATAACAGTTTGGACACATTGTGATAATAAGTCGACTACTATATTTAAAATATATAACATTTTTTGGTTCTTATTACATATATTGTGCTTTATGTATTTAAGTAATTAAACAAATCTAGTGTAATTTTATGTATATCGTTGTGCAAACATCAGTTAGATTTATTTATTTGCATAAGACGACATAAATAAAATATGAAATATATATATCTAAAAAATGTATTTTATTAAAAAGTAAAAAAAGGCGCCAAGTACGTGCGATAAAATTCACAAATCAATCAACAAGCTCCTTATAAATTATCTTGACTTTATTCCGGGCATGAAATTTGCGATCGCGAACGAAACATAACTTAAAACATAAAACATAACATAAGAACCAATCAAATAGTTTTGGATTTAATAAGCGAAAGAAACGGAAAATTACTAAAAGCCTAAGCATAAGAAGAATTTCAATCGGTTGAAATTTTTACGTACACGGAATCTGTAGATGTGTTGGAATGGTGTGGCTCCGTTTCCTTAGCATATTAAATCTAATTGTGAAACGACTATCTGATTGGTTTTTTAGCTTATATGTATATAATATATATTATGGCTATGTTTTATGAAAATTCGTGTGTTATAACTTGTAGTCTATATTGTCTAAAATGTTTCGCAATGTTACAAATATAATTAATTATTAGAACCATATGTTCCAAAGAAAGAAAAAGTTGTCAACTCAAATGTGTGATTAGTAAGCGAAAAGTGAGGCAGTCCGATTTCTTTAGGAGTTAATCTTTTAAAATACTTATTGTTAGCTCGGTCCGTGATTGAAATATTTTATTATTGATGTACTGTGCATATATGTTTATATTAAAATATCTCTTTCGAATTTCCAAAAGAACAATTATATATAAAAATATAAAGAACAATTATATAAATTTATATAGGTGTCGAATTTTCCTTCAGATTTATTATTATATTTAAACCATTCTTAGTCTTTGTTATGTTATTGATATGTAGGTCAACTCTTTTGATATACATTAAAATAATGACAACGGCTCATGTAAATTAAACAAATTACGGAAAAATATACAGAGTATATAAACAGTCGCGTACATACAAGCAACCCTGGTAAAAAGGTAAAATCTAAAATAAAGGAGGAAAAAGGGAAGAAGAAGCAAGAAGGAGAAGGAAGAAAGAGACAAATAAATAAATCAAGAGTTTCTGTAGAAGAAAGTCAGATTTTTGATTAAGGCTTTAGTTTTGGAAATATCTTGTCAAAAAATTCATTTAACAAAATATTCCGGATAAGTTACTTGATAACGGCGCGATACCTCTGACGTTAATTTCATTCTTTTAAAGCAACGTTTACACACGTAAAAATTAATATACGTCGCACGTGCTGAATTTTTACAAGGTGGTCGATTAATAATTACACGCGCGTTAATTTCACTAGCTCATTTATTATAGAGAGCGCAGTACGGAACAGCGATTGCCAGAAAAGCCGCTAGTCAGTTATAATACTAATTTATTATGTAGCAATGACTTATTATAATTTAATTTAAATAAATTAATATAATTTTTATATTAATAATTAATATAAAAAAATATTTAAAAATGTTTAAAAAATGTGTATTTTGATTTTTTTATTAAAAAAAATTTTGTTTTGTAACATATGCAAGGCATTCCGTAGAAAATTACTGAAACTAATCAGCTGTCATTTTTTAATGCATGCAATTATTAGAGAAAACAAAAATTGTGTCGAAAATAGGAAAATCTACATTTTTAATAATATATATATATATATATATATATATATATATATATATATGACAGCTGATTAGTTTTGGTAATTTTCTACGGAATGCCTTGTATATATATATATATATATATATATATATATATATATATATATTTTATATTTCAAATTAATTTTTTCCTCCACAATTTTTTATTGTTATATTTTATAAATTATAAAGGTAGATTAAAATTTTGAATTAAATAATTATATTATTATAATTTTTATGTTCATTTGTCATCCAATTGTAATCATCAAAAAATATATTTTTATATAAAAATCAAAATTTTTTTGTTATTTGAGTTGGAAATCATTTAAATGTATTAATGAGACTTTTGCGATTGAAATGACACCAAACACGGCATAAATCGGATAATTTTTAATTAGATACTTCATCAGATTTTTTATTATAATTTTATTAAAAATTATCCGATTTATGCTTTATGTTTGGTGTCATTACAGTTGCAAGAGTCTCATCAATCCATTAAAATTATTTTCAACTCGATAAAATGTAAATTAAAAGTTTTAGTTTTGATATAAAAGATTCTTATTATTCGTATTTGTGTTCGCAGAAAATATGCGATTGTTTTACGAATAAGTATTAATATTTCAGTATTAAATGCTTTAGTAAAAGTTGGTTTCTTTAGAGAAATATATATATATATAAATTGTTATAAAACAACTAGATAATTCAATAATTGAGCTCATAATCAATATGTACAGATTCTTTTGCGATTAGAAATTCAAAATCATGTACGCGCGCGCACGTACATATATACACAACCCACATGGCACAGAGGGTCAAAACCTAAATAAGAAAATTGAAAAATTGAAAAATTTATTAAAATAACTTTTATTAATTTATTAATATAACTTTTTTATTAAATTTGTAATCTCATTTTTAATTGCTCATTAATATTTTTTCATTTTATTCATATTGCGCAAGGTATATTTTATGTGCACGGACAAACTGCAGAACTTTTTTATTAAATAACTATTGTTACGAACTGACACAAAAGAAGCCGATAACAAAACTGTATAATTTTTCATTTTTATATGATTTATATATGGATTCGAATTATGGCCAGCGCGGTCCGTCTTTATAAGTACTTTAATCGTGGAAAAGGATTTATTGATCTGTATAATTAATAAAAAGATATCCCAAAATAATTAATATTCGCATTCGGTCTGTAAAAACATTTCTCCGGCATCCCCTTAAAAATGTCGACAGAGAGTTGCGCATTGTGATACGGCGCAACTGTCGCTCTTTCAAAGAACAGATTCTACTCGTTCGTGTTCTTCTATTCAGTTTATATTCAATACGTGGGACTGTATGTTTCTTGTGATATCTATTGGCGGAAGGCAAATACAATAGCGTAAAATAAACAACAAATTAGATAAAATAAGATAGAAATAAATAACAAATTAGAATATTTATTTTACTATATTATTTTGTTTTATTTCTAATAATCATTGGAATTATAAACGAATTTCACATTTATTAATTATGAAAACAGTGATACTGGACATAATATTTCTCATGTTTGTGAACCAAATTATGTATGTTTTTGGAAATATAAGCATATTGAGTGGACCGGTAAATTCGACTGATTATAGAAAATTAATATGTGTCTCGAAGGATGATGGCAGCGCCCTTGTGTGGATCAACACATTAAATTACAATACCATTACAGAAAGCAGCAAACGTAAGTTATAAAAATATAAATAAACATTTTTACAGTTCCACAATAAAGCAAAATATAGAAGTTTTAACAAGATTTCATTTATTATTATAAAAATATATCCCATAGCGAGAAATGGTAGTCAAATCGACGTCGATTCGACCAATTCTTCCTTACTGGGATATATAATAAAACTCTTATTAAATTTTATATTGAACATTCTTATTAAATTTTATATTGAACATTTATTCATAAAGTCTTCACTTTATTATATTGTTACGTTTTCTCGGATTTCACCTCCTAAACCTTCTCTTCGCGGAAGATCGTTAATAAAGGACAAATAATAATCGACATGTATTTAGTTGACACACGTCATGTAGCTATTGTGATGTGTCTTTCGAGACGAAAGATATTGTTTTCGTTTTTTCTATATACATATACGTGTTATTAACTGTCTTGGACTGTATGTGCATCACGTGATCAGAGAAACACGCGAGAAAATACAAAACAGTGAGACAACTAGCATCTTTACGATTGATTCAATCGATATATTTCTTGTTCTATCTTATATCGGTTACATATTTTCTTTTATTAAAAATATATGTTGTCATTTCTCGTCGCAAGTAAAAGTTTTGGTGAGACGTTGCACGCTTCAATTATTAATGTCAAAATCAGTCTGCGTATATATTTTTAAACTTGATATATTAAAATATATTTTTAAATTTTGATTTTGTATGTGTATATCTATTTTTAAACATTGTTTTATGTATGAAAGAATTTTCTAAAAAATACTTGAGCTAGAACAATTTTTACAGACATACACTCTTCTAAATAATTAGAGAATAAAAAAATTGTTCCAAAAATAAATAAATTTTAAATAGTTGTAATTTTGTTTCGAAGAATGATAACTTAAATTTTAAAAAAAGATTTTCAAGCTTGAAATCCCTACTTTTGAAAGATCATAGATACTTTCGAAAGATCTACTTTGAAAGATCATAGATATATCATACTAAAGAGCAAAGATTCAGCTTTAAGAATCCATTCTTAAAATTGCTGTTTTTTTACGGAATTATGAACTATCAAAAGTGAGAATGACATTTTCTCTTCAACTTAGAATAACTTGATAAAAAAGATCTAAATTTAAATTTAAAAATGCGATTTTACAAGGAAAACTTTAGGCTTTAACGCGAATATATTTTTCAAATTTTCTTCTACATGCGACACGTCCACAAAGTAAGTAGAAAATTTTTTATTTCGTAATGTTTGTCGCTTCTATATGTAAAAAGTATCAGAATGGGAGAAAATGAAAAAAGCTATGACCTTTGTAATGTAGAGATTTTAAGCTTTAAAATCTTTTTTTAAAATTCGCATTATCATTTTTCATAACTTTACAACCTTTTAAAATTTGCTTATTTTTTCGTTAATCAATGTTTTCTATTGACTATTTTTATCAGGCTTATTGCAGAAAATTAAATATATGAATATATGTATATATTATCACTTTCTGTTGCGAGTGTGAGTATGCGTGAGACGTTGCTTTGATTAATATCAAAATTGAGTCGTGAGCAACAATATTATATGTACAATTAAATTATCAATCAATTATTTTACGACAATTTAATTATCCAATTATTTCAGAGATTTACAATTCGAATAAATACATTAATAACGAAATAGATTGCAAAATGAATAGGAAAGATGAAGAGTGCTTAAAGTCATGGAGTAAACCGAAATGGAGTTTCACAAGTTCTCTTGAAACGCCTATGGGTCCGGTATTTGATGAACGATGGGAAGGTAGATGCTTCGCAAGTTAAAAAAGAATTGCAATATTTAAAATACATTACGATATTTATCACATATAATAATATTCATATTTAAATAATATATTTAAATTTCAGACTTTATGGAATATGAAATTAAAAGAAATGAATATCATTTTATAGATTCAAATACTTCTACAATAGTATTCTCGTTTTTAAGATATAAATTTATGCAGATATTATTTTGTAATAATGGAGAAGATTCCATGCATTATTGCCATCGGTTAATAATAACTGTATTTGGTCGTGACATAATTTACACGATAGAAACTTGCGAGGGAAAATCTTACGAGGACTTATTACAAACTTTATCTCCTAAATGCAAGCGCGCAACTAGCTATGGAGTAATATACTTTTATTTAAAATAAAATTTTATTTATTTATAATAAAAACGTTGTAAAATTTAATAAAATTTTTTTTGCCAGAATTGGTTGATTAAATTATTACCATTTTTTTAAAATAAAATTATTATTAATTTTGAAATTACACGCATTAATATCATATATTATTCTTAAAATTGAGAGCCGATAAAAATATTTCTCATTTGATTTTAATTCTAATTTTATTTTTAAAAAATCTAAATAGATGCAAAACTAAACACAAAATATGAATTGACAATTAATATAGAGCAATCACAATTCTAATTGGCATACGATTACAATTATAAGGAATCCTATGACTCAAAGTATATTCTTTTATAACACTGATGACGTCGATATGACATATGAAAACATTAATAAACAAAATGAAACAATGAATTTTTTATTTTCTACTACTTTTTACTATCGTATATATTTTGGATCTATATTTTTTTCGGCTAAATCCCAAAGTACATCACTAGGAAAGATACGATTTCATATATGTAAGTACAACTTCTAAATATAATTCTATTAATAAAATTATTTTAAATATATATATATATATATATATAGCAACAACTGAACAATTTTAAACAAAAGTTTTATTTACAAACATATTATAGATGACTTTCTGCATACGACACTTAAGGATGCAATTTTAACGAGTCCAATTTTTACAATATATAATCAAACAATATGTCTAGAAATGTTAATTGGCCTTTGCGCAGAATGCGACGCAAATATAATATTACTTGATTCTGCAAATGATATAATATTGAAAAATGTAACAATAAAAGGTTTAACTGCGAAACATGGCTTGCCTATGTGGCAATCTGTTCAAATAAAGGAAAATCTTACAACGGCATATTATGTTAATGTGTCAATGCAATTAATTCCTAAGCTCAGTACATTTACTTCTAATCCATTATGGGCAATAGCGAATGTTCGTCAGTGTCCGCAAAATGGTATATATTAAAAAATTTTTAATTTTGTTACATCTACAAAATTGTTATATCTATAATTGCCAAAATATCGATAAAGTCAATTTAATGTGTGTGCATGTAGACAAAATAATTCTAAAAATTTTTAAACACATTAATTTTTTTACATGTAATTTAATTATACTTTTTAGGAACTTTAAAAGCAGTTGTATTACATCAAAAAATGGATTTTTCGTACATCAAAAAGAACGTACAAGATTCGCCTATAGAATGTCAAAAATTATTTTACGATGAACAAATTTATCTATCTTCTTGGTCAAATCTAACAATAAGTATGAAACTATTAAAGAATATCATTCAACTATATTTTATAAGTGAAATTTGACATTATTTTGGATAATATCCCATACGGCACAGGACCTTGCAGCAATATTGCAGCAATATTGCAATCTTGCATATTGCAATGTAATATTGCAGCAATATTGCAATCTGAAATATTGCAATGCAATATTTCAGCAACATTGCTGAAATATGAATATAGAACATTGCTATAATAATGTGGTAATAATGTTGCAGCAATATTGAAAATATACTGTTATAATTTTATAAATAGTAAAAATAATATGTATTTTTTGTTCTTACATGATTAAGATACTTTAATGCAATTTAAGTAAATTTTTAGTTTTTATTAGGTTTATAAAAAATTATTATATATCATATGTTGTGCACGTGTACATATATGTGTATATTATATACGCAGATTATTATATATGAATATATAACGTGTTATATATTAACATATTTCGTATATAAAATTTTTATATAATTTGGTTTTTTATTGCAATATATAATAAGAATATTTAAATGTTGCGTATATTTTATTTTATGTAACTCATATATATACATAAATATTAAATTCTGAAATATTCTCTTTTATACTGCATGTAATATATATTTACAAACACGCACATTCTAACAATCTATGAGATATATATATCTCAGATTTAATTAGAATGTAAAAATACTACTTATAGGTCTGTTCGCGTTGACTGAACTCGCTGCATTAGTTCAGAAGTTGTCTTTTTTGCTCGACATTGTTGGAAGGAAAAAGATAACTTCTGAACTAGTGCAGCAAGTTTAGTCAACGCGATCTTACGTCAATACAAAGCATTATAATACATATATATATACATATATTATATTGCAATATTGTTGCACTATTGCATTGTAATATTGCTGCAGTATTGTATTGTAATATTGCTACAAGCGGACATTTTACCGTTGCTGCAATATTGCTGCAATGTTGCAGCAACATTTTGCAACATTGCTGCAATGTTGCAATTTTGCAAATAAATATTGCAGCAACATTGCAGCAATATTTCTGTGCCGTATGGGATTATATGATTTATATTTTATACGTATAAGTAGAATTTTTAACATTATTTTTTGAGTATTTACAAAAAAAACCGGATAAACTTTCGAAAATGACCTACGTCCGATTGTCATGAATTTTTGTAGAAATACTCTAAATGATCTCAAATGGTCAATCGGTAAAAATCTGTTTAAGGATAAATTTATTTGACATCATTTAGAGTATTTGTACAAAAATTCATGAAATCGGGCGTGACGTGGGTCGTTTTTAGAAGTTTGCACCCAAAAAACTGTTAAAAAAATTATCTGTCTTTTTATTCTTCTATCTTTTTATAGAACCTGAAGATTGTCCTCGAGGAAAAATTGGACCGCAATGCTTGATTTCTTGCGAACATGATTTGCAAATCAATGCTGATTGCGAAAATATTACATTTTGTAACAATAATGGTTGCACATGTCCGTTAGGTTATTGGGACATATCTTGTCGTAGACGTAAGTGAATTATAATATGCTATTAAATTCTTTGTGAACTCATTTAAGCAAATGCTCAGGCACATTAAATAAATTATTTTTATGACATTTTTATATAACATAATTAAACATTATATGTATACATATATGATTCATACTTCGATGAAAATCAATGTATACAAAGTTTATGTAATAATGTAATTTAATTAAAAATTCCAAGTAGAACAGAAACGTCAAAATAATGTTAATTTGACATCATATATTGACCAAATTTGAATTTCAAATTTGATTAGTATGACGTCAAAATGATATTATTTTGATCTTCTGTTCTACTTAAGATAAAAGTAGAGATAAACTGTTATGTATTAATTTTGATGCTATATTATATAATTTTGTACGCGAGATGCACATTAGCACAGTAGTTTATATAGTTTAGTGTATCAGAAATATTCTATATATCTATTATTATTAGATACGAATGTATAATTTATTAATTTTTTCAGGCCTAGAAAAACCAAACGTACCTAAGGTAATTTTTGTGGACACGACAAGTATAATTGTATTTCTTCCTACAACATGGAATTACACTAGTTATTATGAGGAGACAACAATTTCTTATTCTTTCGAAATTAGAGTAAATAACATTGCTATTATTTTTAATTAACTTTCTATCAGAATAGTAATTTAATTCAATAAAATTTGCAATTTATCATGCAAATATATAAAATATAAATATTTACAAACATTTAAAAAGACAAAAAAGAAGATATATAAATATACGTGGATATATATAATTTTAAAGGATATATTTTTTATTATATACAGCTTTAAAGAATACATTTTTTATAGGAACTAGATGAACCAGAAACTCATTCCATTGGACAATCAAAAAAAGAAATATTTCAAAATAGAATACAGTTAATAGGACACTTCAAAAATTTAAAACCTTGTATGGAATATGAAATTCGGTGTACTTTAAGAATTCCAGGCTATAAAAAACATAGTGATTCGATAACAGTTTGGACACATTGTATTAATTTTGATGCTATATATTATAATCTTTTACGATGCACATTAGCACAGTATAGTTTATATAGTTTAGTGTATCAGAAATATTCTATATATCTATTATTATTAGATACGAATGTATAATTTATTAATTTTCTAGGCATGGAAGAACCAAACGTACCTGAGGTTTTGTTTGTGAACATGACAAGTATAGTTGTATTTCTTCTTACAACATGGCATTACACTAGTTATTATGAGATGACAGCAATTTCTTATTTATTCGAATTTAGGGTAAATAACATTACTTTTATTTTTAATTAACTTTCTATCACAGAATAGTAAATTAATTCAATAAAATTTACAATTTATCATGCAAATATATAAAATATAAATATTTACAAACATTTAAAAAGACAAAAAAGGAGATATATAAATATACGTGGATATATGTAATTTTAGAGAGGATATATTTTTCATTATATATAGCTTTAAAGAATACATTTTTTATAGGGACCAGAAACTCATTTCTTTGGAGAACCAAAAAAAGAAATATTTCAAAATACAACACAGTTAATAGAACACTACGAAAATTTAAAACCTTGTACAGAATATGAAATTCGGTGTACTTCAAGAATTTTAGGCTATGAAAAACGTAGTGATTCAATAACAGTTTGGACAAAATGTATTAATTTTGATGCTATAATATTATAATCTTTTACGCGAGATGCACAGTAGTCTATATAGTTTAGTGTATCAAAAATATACTATATATCTATTATTATTAGATACGAATGTATAATTTATTAATTTTCCAGGCCTAGAAAAACCAAACGTACCTGAGATTATTTTTGTGAACACGACAAGTATAGTTATTGTAGTTCTTCCTACAACATTGAATTACACCAGTTATTATGAGGAGACAGCAATTTCTTATTCTTTCGAAATTAGGGTAAATAACATTGCTATTATTTTTCATTAACTTTCTATCAGAATAGTAATTTAATTCAATAAATATTACAATTTATCATGCAAATATATAAAATATAAATATTTACAAACATTTAAAAAGACAAAAAAGGAGATATATAAATATACGTGGATATATATAATTTTAAAGGATATATTTTTCATTACATATAGCTTTAAAGAATACATTTTTTATAGGGACCAGAAACTCATTCCATTGGACAATCAAAAAAAGAAATATTTCAAAATACAACACAGTTAATAGGACAGTTCGAAAATTTAAAACCTTGTACAGACTATGAAATTTATTGTACTTCAAGAATTTTAGGCCATGAAAAGCATAGTGATTCAATAAAAGTTTGGACAGAATGTATTAATTTTGATGCTATATTATAATCTTTTACGCGAAATGCATATATTAGCACAGTAGTTTATATAGTTTATTGTATTAAAAATATACTATATATCTATTATTATTAGATACGAATGCATAATTTATTAATTTTCCAGGCCTAGAAAAACCAAACGTACCTGAGATTATTTTTGTGAACACGACAAGTATAGTTATTGTAGTTCTTCCTACAACATTGAATTACACCAGTTATTATGAGAAGACAGCAATTTCTTATTCTTTTGAAATTAGGGTAAATAACATTGCTATTATTTTTAATTAACTTTCTATCAAAATAGTAATTTAATTCAATAAAATTTGCAATTTATCATGCAAATATATAAAATATAAATATTTACAAACATTTAAAAAGACAAAAAAGGAGATATATAAATATACGTGGATATATGTAATTTTAGAGGATATATTTTTCATTATATATAGCTTTAAAGAATACATTTTTTATATAGGGACCAGAAACTCATTCCATTGGACAATCAAAAAAAGAAATATTTCAAAATACAACACAGTTAATAGGACACTTCGAAAATTTAAAACCTTGTACAGGATATGAAATTCGGTGTACTTCAAGAATTCCAGGCCATGAAAAACATAGTGATTCGATAACAGTTTGGACACATTGTGATAATAAGTCGACTACTATATTTAAAATATATAACATTTTTTGGTTCTTATTACATATATTGTGCTTTATGTATTTAAGTAATTAAACAAATCTAGTGTAATTTTATGTATATCGTTGTGCAAACATCAGTTAGATTTATTTATTTGCATAAGACGACATAAATAAAATATGAAATATATATATCTAAAAAATGTATTTTATTAAAAAGTAAAAAAAGGCGCCAAGTACGTGCGATAAAATTCACAAATCAATCAACAAGCTCCTTATAAATTATCTTGACTTTATTCCGGGCAAGAAATTTGCGATCGCGAACAAAACATAACTTAAAACATAAAACATAACATAAGAACCAATCAAATAGTTTTGGATTTAATAAGCGAAAGAAACGGAAAATTACTAAAAACCTAAGCATAAGAAGAATTTCAATCGGTTGAAATTTTTACGTACTCGGAATCTGTAGATGTGTTGGAATGGTGTGGCTCCGTTTCCTTAGCATATTAAATCTAATTGTGAAACGACTATCTGATTGGTTTTTTAGCTTATATGTATATAATATATATTATGGCTATGTTTTATGAAAATTCGTGTGTTATAACTTGTAGTCTATATTGTCTAAAATGTTTCGCAATGTTACAAATATAATTAATTATTAGAACCATATGTTCCAAAGAAAGAAAAAGTTGTCAACTCAAATGTGTGATTAGTAAGCGAAAAGTGAGGCAGTCCGATTTCTTTAGAAGTTAATCTTTTAAAATACTTATTGTTAGCTCGGTCCGTGATTGAAATATTTTATTATTGATGTACTGTGCATATGTTTATAGTAAAATATCTCTTTCGAATTTCCAAAAGAACAATTATATATAAAAATATAAAGAACAATTATATAAATTTATATAGGTGTCGAATTTTCTTTCAGATTTATTGTTATATTTAAACCATTCTTAGTCTTTGTTATGTTATTGATATGTAGGTCAACTCTTTTGATATACATTAAAATAATGACAACGGCTCATGTAAATTAAACAAATTACGGAAAAATATACAGAGTACAGGGTTTTTCCGGAAAGTAATGCGTCGCATTTTTTTGTGACGCGACTATACATCGCTGAGCGATGGGCCCGGTTGGTGAGGAAGGGGGGTACCCTTAGCTTTCCAACGGTAGGTCGCTCAATTGTTTCCATGCGCTTGGAGGGTTAGGACGGCTTATTCTGTGAACCTCTGCTTAGTGGTCGCGTCGAACTTGTGATGGAGAGAACGATAGAGCAACGCTATGCGATAAAGTTTTGCGTGAAGCTGGACAAGACGCCGCTGGAAACTTTTGAAATGCTTAAGAAAGTTTTCGGGGACGATTGCCTTTTTTTATTTCCTCGGCTGAAAAGGGAGCTCAAAGGACAACAGCTCGAGTCGGTTGACAACGTACAAGCTACTTCGACGGCCTCCCTGAACAGCATCCCAGTCAAGGAGTTCCAGAAATCTTATGACGCATGGAAATCGCGTTGGCAAAAATGTATTGACGCAGAAGGGTCATACTTCGAACAATTTTAAGTTGTTTTACCTATGCGATCAATAAATTCTTTTTTAAAAAAATGCGACGCATTACTTTCCGGACACCCTGTATATAAACAGTCGCGTACATACAAGCAACCCTGGTAAAAAGGTAAAATCTAAAATAAAGGAGGAAAAAGGGAAGAAGAAGCAAGAAGGAGAAGGAAGAAAGGGACAAATAAATAAATCAAGAGTTTCTGTAGAAGAAAGTCAGATTTTTGATTAAGGCTTTAGTTTTGGAAATATCTTGTGAAAAAATTCATTTAACAAAATATTCCGGATAAGTTACTTGATAACGGCGCGATACCTCTGACGTTAATTTCATTCTTTTAAAGCAACGTTTACACACGTAAAAATTAATATACGTCGCACGTGCTGAATTTTTACAAGGTGGTCGATTAATAATTACACGCGCGTTAATTTCACTAGCTCATTTATTATAGAGAGCGCAGTGCGGAACAGCGATTGCCAGAAAAGCCGCTAGTCAGTTAATACTAATTTATTATGTAGCAATGACTTATTATAATTTAATTTAAATAAATTAATATAATTTTTATATTAATAATTAGTATAAAAAAATATTTAAAAATGTTTAAAAAATGTGTATTTTGATTTTTTTATTAAAAAAAATTTTGTTTTGTAACATATGCAAGGCATTCCGTAGAAAATTACTGAAACTAATCAGCTGTCATTTTTTAATGCATGCAATTATTAGAGAAAACAAAAATTGTGTCGAAAATAAGAAAATCTACATTTTTAATAATATATATATATATATATGACAGCTGATTAGTTTTGGTAATTTTCTACGGAATGCCTTGTATATATATATATATATATATATATATATATATATATATATATTTATATTTCAAATTAATTTTTTCCTCCACAATTTTTTATTGTTATATTTTATAAATTATAAAGGTAGATTAAAATTTTGAATTAAATAATTATATTATTATAATTTTTATGTTCATTTGTCATCAATTGTAATTTTCAAAAAATATATTTTTATATAAAAATTAAAATTTTTTTGTTATTTGAGTTGGAAATCATTTAAATGTATTAATGAGACTTTTGCGATTGAAATGACACCAAACACGGCATAAATCGGATAATTTTTAATTAGATACGTCATCAGATTTTTTATTACAATTTTATTAAAAATTATCCGATTTATGCTTTATGTGGTGTCATTACAGTTGCAAGAGTCTCATCAATCCATTAAAATTATTTTCAACTCGATAAAATGTAAATTAAAAGTTTTAGTTTTGATATAAAAGATTCTTATTATTCGTATTTGTGTTCGCAGAAAATATGCGATTGTTTTACGAATAAGTATTAATATTTCAGTATTAAATGCTTTAGTAAAAGTTAATTTCTTTAGATAAATATATATATATATATATATATATTGTTATAAAACAACTAGATAATTCAATAATTGAGCTTTGAGAAAAATACAATTTCGGAGATTTACTGATATTGAATACATCTCATAATCAATATGTACAGATTCTTTTGCGATTAGAAATTCAAAATCATGTACGCGCGCGCACGTACATATATACACAACCAACATGGCACAGAGGGTCAAAACCTAAATAAGAAAATTGAAAAATTAAAAAATTTATTAAAATAACTTTTATTAATTTATTAATATAACTTCTTTATTAAATTTGTAATCTCATTTTTAATTGCTCATTAATATTTTTTCATTTTATTCATATTGCGCAAGGTATATTTTATGTGCACGGACAAACTGCAGAACTTTTTTATTAAATAACTATTGTTACGAACTGACACAAAAGAAGCCGATAACAAAACTGTATAATTTTTCATTTTTATATGATTTATATATGGATTCGAATTATGGCCAGCGCGGTCCGTCTTTATAAGTACTTTAATCGTGGAAAAGGATTTATTGATCTGTATAATTAATAAAAAGATATCCCAAAATAATTAATATTCGCATTCGGTCTGTAAAAACATTTCTCCGGCATCCCCTTAAAAATGTCGACAGAGAGTTGCGCATTGTGATACGGCGCAACTGTCGCTCTTTCAAAGAACAGATTCTACTCGTTCGTGTTCTTCTGTTCAGTTTATATTCAATACGTGGGACTGTATGTTTCTTGTGATATCTATTGGCGGAAGGCAAATACAATAGCGTAAAATAAACAACAAATTAGATAAAATAAGATAGAAATAAATAACAAATTAGAATATTTATTTTACTATATTATTTTGTTTTATTTCTAATAATCATTGGAATTATAAACGAATTTCACATTTATTAATTATGAAAACAGTGATACTGGACATAATATTTCTCATGTTTGTGAACCAAATTATGTATGTTTTTGGAAATATAAGCATATTGAGTGGACCGGTAAATTCGACTGATTATAGAAAATTAATATGTGTCTCGAAGGATGATGGCAGCGCCCTTGTGTGGATCAACACATTAAATTACAATACCATCACAGAAAGCAGCAAACGTAAGTTATAAAAATATAAATAAACATTTTTACAGTTCCACAATAAAGCAAAATATAGAAGTTTTAACAAGATTTCATTTATTATTATAAAAATATATCCCATAGCGAGAAATAGTAGTCAAATCGACGTCGATTCGACCAATTCTTCCTTACTGGGATATATAATAAAACTCTTATTAAATTTTATATTGAACATTCTTATTAAATTTTATATTGAACATTTATTCATAAAGTCTTCACTTTATTATATTGTTACGTTTTCTCGGATTTCACCTTCTAAACCTTCTCTTCGCGGAAGATCGTTAATAAAGGACAAATAATAATCGACATGTATTTAGTTGACACGCCACGTAGCTATTGTGATGTGTCTTTCGAGACGAAAGATATTGTTTTCGTTTTTTCTATATACATATACGTGTTATTAACTGTCTTGACTGTATGTGCATCACGTGATCAGAGAAACACGCGAGAAAATACAAAACAGTGAGACAACTAGCATCTTTACGATTGATTCAATCGATATATTTCTTGTTCTATCTTATATCGGTTACATATTTTCTTTTATTAAAAATATATGTTGTCATTTCTCGTCGCAAGTAAAAGTTTTGGTGAGACGTTGCACGCTTCAATTATTAATGTCAAAATCAGTCTGCGTATATATTTTTAAACTTGATATATTAAAATATATTTTTAAATTTTGATTTTGTATGTGTATATCTATTTTTAAACATTGTTTTATGTATGAAAGACTTTTCTAAAAAATACTTGAGCTAGAACAATTTTTACAGACATACACTCTTCTAAATAATTAGAGAATAAAAAAATTGTTCCAAAAATAAATAAATTTTAAATAGTTGTAATTTTGTTTCGAAGAATGATAACTTAAATTTTAAAAAAAGATTTTCAAGCTTGAAATCCCTACTTTTGAAAGATCATAGATACTTTCGAAAGATCTACTTTGAAAGATCATAGATATATCATACTAAAGAGCAAAGATTCAGCTTTAAGAATCCATTTTTAAAATTGCTGTTTTTTTACGGAATTATGAACTATCAAAAG